CTGAGTGTCAGTGAGGAACCAGTGTAAAGACTTCAGAACTGGACTGATCCACTTTCTTAGTGTCATTGAGGAACCAGTGTAAAGACTTCAGAACTGGACTGATCCACTTTCTTAGTGTTAGTGAGGAACCAGTGGTAAAGACCTCAGAACTGGACTGATCCACTTTCTTAGTGTTAGTGAGGAACCAGTGTAAAGACTTCAGAACTGGACTGATCCACTTTCTTAGTGTTAGTGAGGAACCAGTGTAAAGACCTCAGAACTGGACTGATCCACTTTCTTAGTGTTAGTGAGGAACCATGTAAAGACTTCAGAACTGGACTGATCCACTTTCTTAGTGTTAGTGAGGAACCAGTGTAAAGACCTCAGAACTGGACTGATCCACTTTCTTAGTGTTAGTGAGGAAACCAGTGTAAAGACTCAGAACTGGACTGATCCACTTCTTAGTGTCAGTGAGGAACCAGTGTAAAGACCTCAGAACTGGACTGATCCACTTTCTTAGTGTTAGTGAGGAACCAGTGTAAAGACTTCAGAACTGGACTGATCCACTTTCTTAGTGTTAGTGAGGAACCAGTGTAAAGACTTCAGAACTGGACTGATCCACTTTCTTAGTGTTAGTGAGGAACCAGTGTAAAGACTTCAGAACTGGACTGATCCACTTTCTTAGTGTTAGTGAGGAACCAGTGTAAAGACTTCAGAACTGGACTGATCCACTTTCTTAGTGTTAGTGAGGAACCAGTGTAAAGACCTCAGAACAGGACTGATCCACTTTCTTAGTGTTAGTGAGGAACCAGTGTAAAGACTTCAGAACTGGACTGATCCACTTTCTGAGTGTTAGTGAGGAACCAGTGTAAAGACCTCAGAACAGGACTGATCCACTTTCTGAGTGTCAGTGAGGAACCAGTGTAAAGACTTCAGAACTGGACTGATCCACTTTCTTAGTGTTAGTGAGGAACCAGTGTAAAGACCTCAGAACTGGACTGATCCACTTTCTTAGTGTTAGTGAGGAACCAGTGTAAAGACTTCAGAACTGGACTGATCCACTTTCTTAGTGTTAGTGAGGAACCAGTGTAAAGACCTCAGAACTGGACTGATCCACTTTCTTAGTGTTAGTGAGGAACCAGTGTAAAGACTTCAGAACTGGACTGATCCACTTTCTTAGTGTTAGTGAGGAACCAGTGTAAAGACTTCAGAACTGGACTGATCCACTTTCTGAGTGTCAGTGAGGAACCAGTGTAAAGACTTCAGAACTGGACTGATCCACTTTCTGAGTGTCAGTGAGGAACCAGTGTAAAGACTTCAGAACTGGACTGATCCACTTTCTTAGTGTTAGTGAGGAACCAGTGTAAAGACCTCAGAACTGGACTGATCCACTTTCTTAGTGTTAGTGAGGAACCAGTGTAAAGACTTCAGAACTGGACTGATCCACTTTCTTAGTGTTAGTGAGGAACCAGTGTAAAGACCTCAGAACTGGACTGATCCACTTTCTTAGTGTTAGTGAGGAACCAGTGTAAAGACTTCAGAACTGGACTGATCCACTTTCTGAGTGTCAGTGAGGAACCAGTGTAAAGACTTCAGAACTGGACTGATCCACTTTCTTAGTGTCAGTGAGGAACCAGTGTAAAGACTTCAGAACTGGACTGATCCACTTTCTTAGTGTTAGTGAGGAACCAGTGTAAAGACCTCAGAACTGGACTGATCCACTTTCTTAGTGTTAGTGAGGAACCAGTGTAAAGACTTCAGAACTGGACTGATCCACTTTCTTAGTGTTAGTGAGGAACCAGTGTAAAGACCTCAGAAACTGGACTGATCCACTTTCTTAGTGTTAGTGAGGAACCAGTGTAAAGACTTCAGAACTGGACTGATCCACTTTCTTAGTGTTAGTGAGGAACCAGTGTAAAGACCTCAGAACTGGACTGATCCACTTTCTTAGTGTTAGTGAGGAACCAGTGTAAAGACCCCAGAACTGGACTGATCCACTTTCTTAGTGTCAGTGAGGAACCAGTGTAAAGACTTCAGAACTGGACTGATCCACTTTCTTAGTGTTAGTGAGGAACCAGTGTAAAGACTTCAGAACTGGACTGATCCACTTTCTTAGTGTTAGTGAGGAACCAGTGTAAAGACTTCAGAACTGGACTGATCCACTTTCTGAGTGTCAGTGAGGAACCAGTGTAAAGACTTCAGAACTGGACTGATCCACTTTCTTAGTGTCAGTGAGGAACCAGTGTAAAGACCTCAGAACTGGACTGATCCACTTTCTGAGTGTTAGTGAGGAACCAGTGTAAAGACTTCAGAACTGGACTGATCCACTTTCTGAGTGTTAGTGAGGAACCAGTGTAAAGACCTCAGAACAGGACTGATCCACTTTCTTAGTGTTAGAGAGGAACCAGTGTAAAGACCTCAGAACTGGACTGATCCACTTCCTGAGTGTTAGTGAGGACTCGGAGGAGAGAGGAGGCGCTCGGAGAGTTCCTCTCAGAGGTCGGAGCATGTTTTCCCTTCCTGTCGAGGGGGGGGGGGGGCGGAGGCGGCGGGGGGGGGGCCTCTGGGAGCCGTTTGAGGCCCCAAAGCACAGCAGATCCCAATCAGGCTGACAGGACAGGTGGTGGTTCCCCGGACCCCCAGCGTACACCTTTAACTGCCCGAGGAATCACTCTCCAAACATCCTCTGTGTTTCTGAGGAGCTGCAGACTGAAGACAGGATCACTGAGAGGTGTGGGGGCCAATGGGATTCACTCAGACCAGGAAGAGACTCAACAAGACTACAGAAAAACACACAATGACTACAAAACGGAGCAAAAGAAGCAAAGAACAGAAACAAAAACAGCAATACATTATAGAGACAAGGAATGAGTACAAAGACACAATGAAAGTCATGTAGAAAAAAACTACAGAGAGACAGTGACTGAAAACTGGAACTAAATGACCACAAGCTGCACCACTGAAGTGTGAGTGTCCGGCTCCTGTGTGCGCTAAGAAAAGCAGTTTGGTGTTTCTATCGTGGAGATGTAATATTGGAAAGAGTGATTTCACAAAATGCAATAATAAAAACATCACAGACAAACGTTCACAAATAAAAGCTGTTCACTACAAAGTCTTCTCAATTGACAGAGACTTACAGATCCTGGCCTTCTTTTAATCCCAGTTCTTATTATTGAATGCAAATAATAATAAATTGAGTTTGGAGAATAATATAAACAACTCCACAGTCCAAATTGTTTTTAACCTCGACACAGGAAGCGCACACCACAGCTGATCCACTCCAAAAAGTGAGAATTTAGAAAGAAAAGTAAGAAATAGGGAGGTGTGTGGCGCAGTGGTTAGTGCGTTGGTGTTGGGATCAGGGGAGCACAGGTTCAAACCCCACTGCAGTCAGCATGTCGTTGTGTCCCTGAGACACTTCACCCCAAACTGCTCCTGTGGGGATTGTCCACAGTATTGAGTATGTAAGTCGCATGTCGTGTAAAAATATGAAAAAGTCAGGAATTTTGAAAGAGTAAGATTTTTGGAATACAAATTCGAAAAGTTGAAAAGAAAATCGCAGTTTTGAAAAAAGTTTGAATTTGATAAAAAGTCAGATTTTTTTCAAAAAAGTCAGTATTTGGAAAAAAGTAAGAAATATGTTAAAAGTCAGGAATTTGAAGATTTGAAGATTTTGGAGGAAAAAGTCAGAATTTTAATAAAAAGTAAAAAAAAAGTTCTTATGAAGCAGATTGAGGCAGGCGTACAGATTCACACTTAAAGTCTTATCCTACAGAACAGAACAGAGATAACATCTGATGCTTTCACAACACACACTATCTGCTCTTTTTAAATCCTAGTACTCCACAAAACGTTGAAATGTAACTGTAATCAGATTACATCTTTTACCTTTATTGTATCCTACCAGTACATGTAATCCATTACCACGTGAACTCTCCTCAGTACAAACAGCAGCATGATATATTTTAATGTCATTTTTCCATGACTTCCCGTCAACAGGGCTTCTCTCCGTTGCTCGGGAAAATGTTTTAAAAAATATCTCATAAAGCAGATTCAGGCAGTATAGATATGATCTTTTTAGGTTTGACTAACACTGTAATCCTGCTGTAAACATGTGACCCATTTCTCCCAGGCAGCTCGTCCACATAATGAAACTCTCCTCAGTACAAACAGCAGCATGATATATATTGATGTCATTTTTTCCATGACTTCCCGTCAGCAGTGATTCTCTCCGTTGCTCCGCAGTGACCTCTGACCCCTCACCCTGCCCCCCCGGTGGTGATTTATCCCTCTGACACGCCAGCAGCTGTGTCTCCGTGTGGGCCGATATTAGCCGTGACTAATCGATAACAGACTTCAAAAAACACCAGGCGTGAGATCTGGAGGGAATACAGAAACACAGCCGCTCTGACACCGGACACCAGGAGCAGCAGGAGGTTCACACAAAATATATTACCATCTAGTTCAGACTCACACTCAGTAGTTTCTTTTTATGTATATCTTCTTATCTGACTTTTCTTTTTCTTAATTTCCTTTATTTTAACTTTTTTGCTTCTGGTGTGAAAAAGGGATTCCTAATTATTTAGTAAGTTAATAATTATTTTCTATATCCTTTAAACTGCCATACGTATCAGTATTGTCTCGATTTAGAGTCAGATGTATGTTTGACTTTCTTCTCTCCTCTGTTTATCTCATTTTTATTATTCTTAAATTGGGAATGTTGGGGTCAAAATAAAACATTTTTAAGTTCCTTTTTGAATATTAAAGATAGCATTTATGTGGTTTTCTAATCTGCAATGTACCTTCTTGTTTTACAATGCGTGGACCCTTTGTTATACTTTCACTACCCTCAAATTAAGACGGAAATAACACATTTTTATTCTTCCATTTCCTCCATACATCACTGACCCATCTTTAGCACAATGTGCACATATGTGTCACAACTGCGTGTCTGTTTCCCTCTCTGTCAGGACGTGCCTCATGGGAATCAGAGACAATAACAAGTATTATTTGATAAAATATATTTTATTTAAAACTTTGGGGACAAAAAGACAAAAGTTTCCAAACAAATGCACGGCATCTCTGAAACTCACATTTCTAAATCAAGTATAAATAGTCTCTTCATCGTGTGATCCAGCATGTGTGTGAGTGTGAGTGTGAGTGTGAGTGTGAGTGTGTGAGTGTGAGTGTGTGAGTGTGAGTGTGTGTGTGTTATGTGACTCTTCCCTGAGAAAGTCTTTGAGGATGTTCAGGTTTTTAAATCATTCTCCTGTCAGCGTCTCACTCTCAGCGTCTCACTGTCAGCGTCTCACTCTCAGCGTCTCACTCTCAGCGTCTCACTCTCAGCGCAGCGAGCCCTCTCATCTTTAAACACTCTCTGCCGTCCTTTATCTGCAAACACATGAAATATCTCAGTCAGATAAACATGAAGAAATATAAACTTTAAGTGAACCACAAGTCAGGAAAAGATGCAAACAGAATGAGGTCAAATGCACGAGAAGTGATTTTATTTTCTAAGAGAAATAAAGACACAATAAATCTAATGGTTCTGTCACATTAAGGGTCAAAGCCAAGAGGAAGCTGCTAATGATGTTCTATATCACAAAAAACACGTGTGTGTGAGGAATGTACATTAACTGCAAACATGTGCATTTAAAAGCACATTTTACTCGCACAATCTTCCAAAAGTGCATTTTACACTCCAAAGCTTAAAGGTAGGGTAGGTAATTTTGAGAAACCGGCTCGAGATCGCTAGAATTTGAAAATACACAACCGGAGAAAATCTGCCACTTCCTCACAGAGCCCCTCCTCCAACACACACGAGCGCGCACATGACCAATGAGGGCACGAGATAAGTTTGTGCACAGATGGAAGGCTGACAGGCAGGTAGGCCATCCAGTTATTTTAGCCGGGCCGGCTCAGATGATTGGTCGTGCTTTTTACAGTACTACGGCTTCCACAGATGATATTTCTTTATGGATTTGTTGTCAAAGCACTTCAGATATTCATTGCTATCGGGATGTTAAGAGCATTCCATGGAATATAACAAAAAGTGTATCTCGAGCCGGTTCCTCAAACTTACCTACCCCACCTTTAATAACTGTGAAGTCACGATTGGAAGATAAAAGCTGGATCAAACTGCAGAACATCTTGAAAAGCTTCATCAAGAATACAGAAGCCTGCTGATGAGCCTGTCATGTGTTAGAGCCACTCACTTTCATATTCACATGTAATGATCTGCTCTGTATTTGAATCCACTTGGCCGTGCAGTAAACCCTTCACCCTGACTTGAGGCGCAGATGGCCCACATTCATTTCCAGAGGCAAGAGAAAGCTAATGATGTTGTATCTCAGATTATGCTTTGCACTAAACTAGAGCTAAAAAAGAGAATACAGAAACAGGAATGTGAGGAATGTACATGGACAGCAAACATGTGCCGTGCGTAAAAGCACTTTTTTTACGCACAAAAATCCTAAAAATAAGTGCTTTTTACGCATAAAACCCTCTGGTTGCTCAGGCAGAAGTTGCAGATGCTGCCCAAAATTCATTTCCAAAGTCAAGAGAAAGCTACTAAATATGTTGTATATCAGATTATGCTTTGCACTGAAGTCAATTTCAAAAAGAGAATACAAAACACGTGTGTCTGTGAGGAATGTACCGTGCACAAAAAACTACAGAAAAAGTGCCTTTTACGCATAAAATCGGTTCTGATTCCGGTAACCCTCACCCCTTTCCTCTGGCTGCTCAGGCAGAAGGTGCAGATGCCCCTCATTAATGTCCAAAAGCAAGAGAAAGCTTTGATGTTGTATCTCAGATTATGCTTAAGAAATTAAGTTAAAAAAGCGAATACAAAAACATGTGTGTCTGTGAGGAATGTACCATTACGCACACAATACTACAGAAAAGGCGCTTTTTTACGCACACAAATCCCCCCCAAAAGAAGCGCTTTTCACGCATCAAATCGGTTCTGATTCCGGTAAACCTCACCCCTTTCCTCTGGCTGCTCAGGCAGAAGGTGCAGATGCTGCGCGGCTGCAGCGCTCCGCTCTCTCTCGGCGCATTCCCATGCAGGCACGGCTGTCCCTCCGCGCCTCCGTCCCCCAGCAGCAGCACGTTGGCCAGGTGAGAGATGTAGCTGGAGGCCAGGCGCAGAGTCTCGATCTTGGAGAGCTTCCGGTCCACCGGCTCCGTGGGGATGAGGCTCCGCAGGGAAGTGAAGGCGGAGTTCACGCTCTGCGTCCGGCCGCGCTCCCGAGCGTTCGCCGCGCTCCTCTGCTGCACAACCACCGGCATCTCGGCGCTCAGCCTGCGGGAAATCCTGCTCCTTTTCCCGCAGTAGCTCTGCTCCGAGCCGCCGCCGTCGCTCTGGTTCTCCTCCTCATCCTCCTCAGAGGTGACGACGTCAGAGTAAAGTAAGTGTGACGCCATGGGCCGCAGCATGGTGGCGAAAGTCATGTTTAATACAAAATAAAAAGTCCCGGTGCCAAAATCCTCCGTTTGATCACCGAGAGCAGAAGCAGAGAGGATCCGACATCCCGGTACCGGCTGCAGGAGACCCGGGGTATGAGTGTTGTTGAATGTGAGAGACCCTCCTCGCGCTCTCTGCAGACTGTATGACTGATACCTGGCAGAGGCTCTTATAGCCGGGGGGAGGGGCTGCTCTCTGCGGGACAAACTCACTCTTAGGCCTACTCCTCAGAACTCTGTGGAAAGATTACTGTGTTGAAAGATAAAGACTCAAATAGAGAACACAAGTTATACTTTACGTGAGTATTACCACAACGCACTGTTTAAGGTACAAGAAAGTACAATTATTACTAAAAGTGCTCAACAAAAATAATACTGAATGTGTATCAAAACGTTTCTCGTCTACAGCAGTAACATGCTGCTTGATGCAACAATATTAACCATCTAATAATGTAATATATATAATATATGGAGGCCTTTCTTCTGCAGCGTTACTCTTCCACCTCGGATGTTAATCCACTATTCTTATATGCACCATACTGAACTTTTCCTCATGTAGTCATATGAACAGTCTTGGTGCTGTTGCTTTTAAGGTGGATTTTATTTGTAACTAACATTTATGCAAATGATATAATGCTACACAGGAAATATTGGTGAGTATTGTTTCCAGAGTAATTACTATTTTGCTCTGAAATAGTGATATTTAATCATTTTGGAGTGTATTTATTACTCATAGCTTCTAGAGTGCGATCAAAAATGCAGAGTCAATTCTACTGGAGTTAAACCATGACCACGCTGTCACGGAGGTGATCTCTGGGGCCATAGATCTCGGTCTCCGTTACGGATTATATAGCTTCATTATTGGCGAAGTATATTCATTTGTTCCACGCTAAAACATTGCACAGGAAGCATGTGATTATATGTCATTCATGCATCTATTTGTCACGATCTGTCTATGTTTTAGTTTGTCTGTCTCTGTTTCCTGTTTTAGTTTGAAAAGTGTTCCCCCTCCCGTCTTGTCTGTTCATGATTGCGTTCACCTGGTGCTCTGTGTTTCTCCTCCCTCCTCACCTGTGTCTTGTTGGTTTGATTAGTCCTGTGTCTGTGTGTGTGTGTGTGTGTGTGTGTGTGTGTGTGTGTGTGTGTGTGTGTGTGTGTGTGTGTGTGTGTGTGTGTGTGTGTGTGTGTGTGTGTGTGTGTGTGTGTGTGGTGTGTGTGTGTGTGTGTGTGTGTGTGTGTGTGTGTGTGTGTGTGTGTGTGTGTGTGTGTGTGTGTGTTCCTTGGTGCTGGTGACTGTGTTCACGTGAGACAGTCATATTGAGGCTGTGTATCCTGTACCACAAAGAGGAATAAATGCCCACACCGGGTTGTATTTGAACTCTCTGCCTCTGCCTCCTTGCTTGGTTGGGCCGCTCAATGGTCAGCTTCACACACGCCCATGTTCCTTAAGCACTTTGGTTTATTGACCTTTTTTATTGTAAAGATCATTATGGTTCATTTATTCTATTCTGAGTCAAATTACCTTCTGTTGGGAGTAAAATGGCAGTAGAGTTGTTTTTAATATACACTACATAGAGTACATACCCATTAAGCAGAGTCAAATCTAAGCACATAATAGAGTCAAATGAACTCTAAAAATACAACTCTGAACAAAGAGTACATTTTACTCTATATAGGTTGGGACCAAATGTTATATTTTTAGAGTCAAATTTTCTTCAATTTGAGTCAATTTTACTCAGAGAAATGTACTGTGTACTGAATGCATCTGATTTTCTAAACTGATCAAATGTCAGGAAAGTAATGGAAACTAAATCTATAAGTCTTGGAGTATAAAATACTACCAAAAGGATTTGCCAATAAATGAAGTCAAGTAGCTTTAACTTCAGTACGAGGTTCGGTTTCAGGATGAAAGCAGAGGCGTCTCCTGGACCTGAAACACTCGGGGCTCAGAGGCGTCTCCTGGACCTGAAACACTCGGGGCTCAGAGGGCGTCTCCTGGACCTGAAACACTCGGGGCTCAGATGAGGGCGGTCTCCTGGACCTGAAACACTTCGGGGCTCAGAGGCGATCTCCTGGACCTGAAACACTCGGGGCTCAGAGGCGTCTCCTGGACCTGAAACACTACGGGGCTCAGAGGCGTCTCCTGGACCTGAAACATTCGGGGCTCAGAGGCTCTCCTGGACCTGAAACACTCGGGCTCAGAGGCGTCTCCTGGACCTGAAACACTCGGGGCTCAGAGGCGTCTCCTGGACCCTGAAACACTCAGGGCTACAGAGGGCTCTCCTGGACCTGAACACTCGGGGGCTCAGAGGCGTCTCCTGGACCTGAACACTCGGGGGCTCAGAGGCGTCTCCTGGACCTGAAACACATACGGGGCTCAGAGGCGTCTCCTGGACCTGAAACACTCGGGGCTCAGAGGCGTCTCCTGGACCTGAAACACTCGGGGCTCAGAGGCGTCTCCTGGACCTGAAACAGGCGGGGCTCAGAGGCGTCTCCTGGACCTGAAACACTCGGGCTCAGAGGCGTCTCCTGGACCTGAAACACTCGGGCTCAGAGGCGTTCTCCTGGACCTGAAAAACACTCGGGCTCAGAGGCGTCTCCTGGACCTGAAACACTCGGGGGCTCAGAGGCGTCTCCTGGACCTGAACACACTCGGGGCTCAGAGGCGTCTCCTGGTACCTGACAACACTCGGGGCTCAGAGGCGTCTCCTGGACCTGAAACCTCGGGGCTCAGAGGCGTCTCCTGGACCTGAAACACTCGGGGCTCAGAGGGCGTCTCCTGGACCTGAAACACTCGCGGGCTCAGAGGCGTCTCCTGAACCTGAAACACTCGGGGCTCAGAGGCGTCTCCTGAACCTGAAAAACACTCGGGCTCAGAGGCGTCCTCCTGACCTGAAACATTCGGGGCTCAGAGGCGTCTCCTGGACCTGAAACACTCGGGGCTCAGAGGCGTCTCCTGGACCTGAAACACTCGGGGCTCAGAGGCGTCTCCTGGACCTGAAACATTCGGGGCTCAGAGGCGTCTCCTGGACCTGAAACACTCGGGGCTCAGAGGCGTCTCCTGGACCTGAAACACTCGGGGCTCAGAGGCGTCTCCTGGACCTGAAACACTCGGGGCTCAGAGGCGTCTCCTGGACCTGAAACACTCGGGGCTCTGAGGCGTCTCCTGGACCTGAAACACTCGGGCTCAGAGGCGTCTCCTGGACCTGAAACACTCGGGGCTCAGAGGCGTCTCCTGGACCTGAAACACTCGGGGCTCAGAGGCGTCTCCTGGACCTGAAACACTCGGGGCTCAGAGGCGTCTCCCTGGACCTGAAACACGCGGGGCTCAGAGGCGTCTCCTGGACCTGAAACACTCGGGGCTCAGAGGCGTCTCCTGGACCTGAAACATTCGGGGCTCAGAGGCGTCTCCTGGACCTGAAACACTCGGGGCTCAGAGGCGTCTCCTGAACCTGAAACACTCGGGGCTCAGAGGCGTCTCCTGAACCTGAAACACTCGGGGCTCAGAGGCGTCTCCTGGACCTGAAACATTCGGGGCTCAGAGGCGTCTCCTGGACCTGAAACACTCGGGGCTCAGAGGCGTCTCCTGGACCTGAAACACTCGGGGCTCAGAGGCGTCTCCTGGACCTGAAACACTCGGGGCTCAGAGGCGTCTCCTGGACCTGAAACACTCGGGGCTCAGAGGCGTCTCCTGGACCTGAAACACTCGGGGCTCAGAGGCGTCTCCTGGACCTGAAACACTCGGGGCTCAGAGGCGTCTCCTGGACCTGAAACACTCGGGCTCAGAGGCGTCTCCTGGACCTGAAACACTCGGGCTCAGAGGCGGCGCCAGAGATGGTCTTTTGGGGGTGCTGTGGGGTAGCTTGACGTTTCATAGAGGGTGCTCAAACATGTGGGGTTTCCCATTAAGGCACCGGGCGCTACAGAGGCATGTTCTACTGCAACACTCCCCACGCACGCGCGCGCACACACACACACACACACACACACACACACACACACACACACACACACACACACACACACACACACACACACACACACACACACACACACACACACACACACACACACACACACACACACACACACGCTCGACTGTTACAATGAAGGTTCGATAATCAGCTCACATATAGGCATATAGGTGTAAGCAGGGGTAAAGTGGGTGGACCTCACCTCCTCTAGGGGGGTCCCCATGTATTCTCTTATTTTTTAATAACTATAATGATCATATGAAGGAGTGCCTCGGAAATAATCTTTTACATAATTGGTGACCAAACCGTTTGAGACCCACTGAGATAACTTAGACTAAAGTGAACTATCTAAACCCTCAGAGAGTCCTTTAGCTCACTGAGTCCCTCAGTCTGAGAGGAGAGGACTCTCAGTCTGAGAGGAGAGGACTCTCAGTCTGTCAGGAGAGGACTCTCAGTCTGTCAGGAGAGGACTCTCAGACTGACAGGAGAGGACTCTCAGTCTGTCAGGAGAGGACTCTCAGTCTGAGAGGAGAGGACTCTCAGTCTGTCAGGAGAGGACTCTCAGTCTGTCAGGAGAGGACTCTCAGTCTGAGAGGAGAGGACTCTCAGTCTGTCAGGAGAGGACTCTCAGTCTGTCAGGAGAGGACTCTCAGTCTGTCAGGAGAGGACTCTCAGTCTGACAGGAGAGGACTCTCAGTCTGTCAGGAGAGGACTCTCAGTCTGAGAGGAGAGGACTCTCAGTCTGTCAGGAGAGGACTCTCAGTCTGTCAGGAGAGGACTCTCAGTCTGAGAGGAGAGGACTCTCAGTCTGTCAGGAGAGGACTCTCAGTCTGAGAGGAGAGGACTCTCAGTCTGTCAGGAGAGGACTCTCAGACTGACAGGAGAGGACTCTCAGTCTGTCAGGAGAGGACTCTCAGTCTGTCAGGAGAGGACTCTCAGTCTGACAGGAGAGGACTCTCAGTCTGTCAGGAGAGGACTCTCAGTCTGAGAGGAGAGGACTCTCAGTCTGTCAGGAGAGGACTCTCAGTCTGTCAGGAGAGGACTCTCAGTCTGTCAGGAGAGGACTCTCAGTCTGACAGGAGAGGACTCTCAGTCTGTCAGGAGAGGACTCTCAGTCTGAGAGGAGAGGACTCTCAGTCTGTCAGGAGAGGACTCTCAGTCTGTCAGGAGAGGACTCTCAGTCTGAGAGGAGAGGACTCTCAGTCTGTCAGGAGAGGACTCTCAGTCTGAGAGGAGAGGACTCTCAGTCTGTCAGG